TGTCTTCTCAGCTTCAACTACTAGTTCTGCTTGCCATTTTTCCATTTCTGGTAAAGGAAGGAAAGAGCAATGATATTTCATGCCTACATTTAAAGAAATATATACAGGTGTTTAAAAAACTGCCTTATTGAGGTATATTTTATATACTCTAAAATCTACTTATTTTAAGTGTATAATTTCAGTGATTTTAATGTATTAACAGAATTTTGAAACTATCACCATGTAGAATTTTAGAACATTTCCATTATTACACAAAGATTTCTCATGCTTATTTGCAGTAATCCCTCCCTCCTCTTCTACCCCCATCACATAGTACAGGTTCTTTTGCAAATTTATAGTTAAATTTACAGTTTGGAAAAATATTTTCATGGGTTGTTGCTTGCTTCTCTTGGTCCTTCACAAGTGTACCTAATCCATAACATAGCTGACTGTGAACAATGAAAGGCTAGTCACTCTTGGGTAAAGAACAAACGGGCCTTGTGGTTAACAAAACAGACAGAGTGTCTTCTGGTTTCATGCTTGATCCTGGACAATATTTTGATGCAGGTAGCTTCTCTTTCAGATCCTTTTATTGCTTTGGTGTGTACATCCTCTGGGCACCCTGTGATGCTGCCTTTTGAATTGCCCTTTACATCCCAGTTAATTTTGTCCTACTCTTCTCCTCTGTTCCCCCTTGATTAAAATTCTCTATCTTTTGCTATTTCTTTCTCCAACAGATAAAACCAAACCAAATCAAACCTAGTTTTACTGCCTCTAACCTTGTGTATTATAGGAAAGAAAGTGAATTTATAATTTGGGAAGGATTGGTAATTCTGGAGAGATGACAATTACTTGCATTTTTAAGCCTGCGCCCTCTTGCAGTCCTGGACCCCTCGCTCCTAACTGCCTGTCTGCTTGCTCCTTACCACTTGGCTTGATGCTCCTTAGGGCTGCTAGGGAGGTGGGAGAGGCTCCCGCCACTGCCACTGCCGCTGTGCTCACCAGCCATGAACCTGGCTTCTGGCTGAGTGGTGCTCCAGCTGTGGGAGCACACTGACCACTAGGGAGCAGCTCCTGCATTGAGCATCTTCCCCCTGGTGGTCAGTGCGTGTCATAGTGACCGGTCGTTCTGTTCATTCCGGTGTAATGGTCACTGGGCTTTTATTATATACAGTGGGGCCTTGACTTACGAGTTTAATTTTTTTCCGAGACCGAGCTCATTAAGGAGCTCATTAACTCAAATTACTCTGTCAACTCAATGCAAAAAATCATCCGAGAGACAGCTGGTATCTCAAAAAACTCGTTAGTTGGGACACTCGTAAGTCAAGGCCCCACTGTACTAGTAGATGATTCATCCTTCAGTAAACCTCATTTTCCACTTTCTACAGCGCTTTTGTAGCTTGAAACTACCTTTTATCTCTATTTGAAAGTTATTAGTCATTTGGTACTGATTTTAGGTGCATATATATCACACTTTAAAAAATATCAAATCAATATTTAAATAAGAGAAACTTAACAGTAACCAGGTGCTGCAATGATGTAGTTTCTGGCTACAGCATTATACAGGGTGTTCCAAAAAAATGTATGCATACTTTTTTCTTAAAGCTCAATTGATATTTCTTTCTTTTCAGGACCCATTAGAATGAATAATTATCAAAGTGCGTATACATTTTTTAAGACTCTATAGTATATTTGAAACTACTTAGGGTGGGAGGGGCACTGTACATTTTACTTAGAATGTACCTTATCCTTATACCTTATCCAGATTTTACCTGTTATAACTGGACTTATCTTGCAGTAATCACTTCAGATGCCACTATCTCTATAATGCCTGCATTAATATCCCTTGCCAACATTCATATTTTCTTCTTCTATGCTCCCCCATCATTTGCACTATTGTATGTAGAGGGCACAAAGGTGTGTCATATTACATATAAATTGATAAACCTGTGAGAGAGAGAGAGAGAGAGAGAGAGAGAGAGAGAGAGAAAGAAAGAGAGAAAGAAATAGAGAAAGAGAGACAAGGAGGGAAAATGAGAGGGAGGGAGGGAAGAAAGAGAGAATAGATGGACTAGTGGTAGGGTTTTTCACCTAAAATTTGACTAGGTTTCACCAAGTTGTTTTTTAAGAGATTATACCTATTTGTATTTGGCTTGGTCTTTTGAGTTGGAAACTTTATGTTTATGGTCTTTTAACAGCATTTACTTATCACAGGGTAGATAAGTACTCATTAAATTGTTTGGTGAATGAAAATTAGGATTTCATGCCAATAATTACTCACTGACTACCTTATTGAGCAGCTATTATCAGGGCAGTTTTAGGTAAATTTATGAAACTAATTTTTTAGAGTGGATAATACATTTGTAACTTCAGTTAGGCTTTTAAAAACTTATTTTTAGAGGTTCCTAAGATATGATAGCTATATTCCAAAGAAAGAGGCATTGACAAAATTATATTATTATTTAATTTGGTCAAAAGTGATTAGGACTAAAGTTTTCCATAAGTGATAGCATTTTTTTTCCTTTTAGCAACTAATGAAATGGTTTTTATATCATTCAGTTGTTTAAAACTTAAAACATCACCTAACATCTATGTATATAAAAGTCTAAGTAACCGTCTGACCGGTAGCTATGATGTGCAATGACCACCTGGGGGCAGACACTCAATGCAGGAGTTGCCGAGCTGCGGTGACTTGCCAGTGGCGGTTCTCGGGTGATGCACACTGGAACCAGAGAGGAGGGAGCCTGATTCCAGTGTGCGTCACCTGAGAACCACCCTTTCGCAATCTGGGACCCCACCTGCCAGAGGGACCCCTCTCACTCTACAGACGCCCTTCCAGCCACACTTCTCACTCTGCAGATGCCCTTCAAGCCGCAGGGCTGCCCCAAGCGCAGTCTGCCCGGGGAGGGACCGCGGGGAGGGACCTTGGGAGGGACCTTGGCTCCAGGGCGTGTCTGGCCCATCTTGCCCAGTCCCTCCCTGCTCTGCTGGCCACCTTCTAATTAATTTCCTTTCATTGTGCACAAATCCATGCACCCAGAGCACTAGTTCAATTATATTTAGTTTTTACTCAATAGTAATGTCCCATTTTTTTTGTTACTGCTAGCATTATTATTGTACATGTTCTTTATACATATTTATCCTTGTATAACCTTTGGTTATTGTAAAAATGCACCACTGTATTGTGTGCTAAGCTTTTTACCTGCATTGATAGTCCTGACATTATGCAAATGATGCTTTCTGCTTAATTCAATCAGTTATTACATCAGGAAAACTGCTCTAGAGAAAAGTCACCATTCATATTTTGCTCTGCTCCCTTAACAGATATTCTGAGGGAGTTCATTCTATTTTATGAATAGAATGAACCTGAAATGCCTTGAAAATCTTTTGTTTTCCCATTCTTGATTCATTGCCTTTTTGGGAATTGTTTTTGAGGAAAGTTAAGATATACTTGTTTTACAGATCAATATAGAAACTTCTCTAGAGAAGAAAAAATATTGTATTTTGATTTTCCAAATTTCTTAATATGACACTAACTTATATGTAAGTTGTGCTTTAAAATGTTCAACATATTTTTCACACATGTCTCATCTAAGTAATTGAGGCCAGGCAATCCTAACTGTTTATAGGTGAGAACCTTGTTCTCAGTGTGTTCCCTGCCCAGTGTAATTTATACAGCTCAAAGGTGGCACAGCACAAAGTCTTTTGGCCTCGAATTTATTTTGACACTATTAGCAATGAAACAGATATTTAAATAGAGCATGTCCCAGATGTTTGTCACTTTTTAGGTGTCATGTCTAAATTTAAAAGTAGGATATTTTAGCATAAATTGTATATGCATAACCTATCACCTAAGGAATTTGGGAGAGTATATTTAGTTTTACTGCATCATAATTACTAGTTTTAATCTCATTTTTCAGATTGACTCTGACCTTCATATAAAAAGTATGTACTTAAAACAGAAGTCTAAATTTTTTTAAAGCTTGATTTTTTTTATCCATATCTCTTACTGTATATGTTTTTATAGTTAAACTAGAGGTCTGATGCACAAAATTTGTGCAACGGGCTCGGCCCTTGTAGCTCCGGCTGCTTCAGCCGGCCCTCACAGCTCCGGCTTCATCCGGAAGGTCGTCCGATGGTTATTCTGCTCTTCGGTCTAATTAGCATATTAGCTCTTTATTATATAGGATGATTCATATAAATCTGTTAGTATAAGTCTCTATTTGACACAATTTCCAGATATTTTTATTTTTCCATTTTTACTTTGTTATACAGGGAATATGTAAAAATAGTCCTAAGAACATTTAAACTTAGGAAGAAAAAACATTCAAAGGTATGAAGAATAGTAAAGCTTCTATTCTTGTATACTTATGTGAGTTTCTCTACTGTGTTTTCCAGAATTTTTTGACCATGATCCAAAGAACTAACATTTTATAGCACACCTTACTTCATCTGTTAAGTTTTTAAATCTCAGGGTCATATTGGAGATTCATCTGATATAAGGCTTCTGGAGCCAATCCTTGTTTCTCACACTTGCCAACACTTAATAGATTAAATATATTCTGTAAATTACCCATTCATATCTTTCTGCCCATTTTTTTATTAGGTTGGTTATTCTTACTAATTTCTAAGGTTTATTTTTAAAAATCTCTTTTATTTTTATTTGTTAGTAATCTTTTAAGAACTTACTTTTTACTGTGGGATGTTACTACTCCTGGTTCAAATATGTGGAATGCAAAACTGTTCACATGAATTGATTAGATTTTGGGGAAAGTTTCTAGTAAAGCAAAATTAGCAAACTCATTAAGGTTCTTGAAGGTTGATTTGTAACCTTTCAGTACAGCCAAGACACATGTCTTCTTATCAATCTGCTGCTGGTGTCATTTGAAAATTTGAGCATGTAAATTCTGTAAGCCTTCATTATAATTGTATTAAAAAACACAGAATGATGTTTATGTGCTGTCATGATATGTATTTTAGTTTTTAATATTTGCTTTTCTTTGTTTCTTCTCCCTAATTAGGTCCCCGATGGGCTTCCTGGAATATTGGTGTGTTTATTTGCATCAGATGTGCTGGGATACATAGAAATCTTGGGGTTCATATATCCAGGGTCAAGTCAGTCAACCTAGACCAATGGACACCGGAACAGATACAGGTAAACATTTTCTTATGATAAATTATTAAAAATAATTAAAGTGAATTTAAAATCTTTAATTCTTCTTGCATTTAAGGATTTATATTGAAACTAAAGGCCTGGTGCAAGAATTGGTGCACAGGTGGGGGCCGGCTGGGGGGAAGAGCCATGGGTGGTTGGCCAGCTGGCCCCACCCCCGATTGGGGTGGGGGGCTGATTGGGAGTGGGGCCAGCTGGGGGAGGGACCACAGGTGGTTGGCTGGCCGCCTGGTCCCCTGGTCAAACTCCTGGTTGAACTCCCAGTCAAACTCCTGGTCGAAGGGACAGTTTGCATATTAGCCTTTTATTACATAGGATGGCCCTGGTTGTTGTGGTTCAATGGTAGTGTGTTGACCTGCACACTCTAGGGCAGGGGTGGGCAAACTTTTTGACTCAAGGGCCACAATGGGTTCTTAAACTGGACCGGAGGGCCGGAACAAAAGCATGGATGGAGTGTTTGTGTGAACGAATATAAATTCAAAGTAAACATCATTACATAAAAGGGTACGGTCTTTTTTTTTTTTTTTTTTTTTTTAGTTTTATTCATTTCAAACGGGCCGGATCCGGCGGGCTGTAGTTTGCCCACGGCTGCTCTAGGGTTATGGGTTCGATTCCAGGTGAAGGGCACATGCCTGGGTTGCAGATCTGATATCCTCCCACCCTCAAGATCCACGTGGGAGCCCACTCTTCCACTCTTTCTAAAAAATTGATGGAAAAAATATCCTCACACCTTGAGTGAGGATTTAAAAAAATAGATTGAAATGTAGTGGGTTGAAATAGTACGTGCCACATTTTAAAAACGTGTTATTTGAATTGTCAGTGGCAGTGTTTTTTTCTTCTTGGGACTGTAGTAAAGCCAGTTTATATAATCTATTTTTATCTCAAATGTTGATTTGGAAGTATTTAAAAAATGAATTCCTTTTCCTTGTGTTAATGAAATTTGCCCTCATAATTCCATAGTCTGTTTTGTTTTCCTGTCAGTAGAGGGAGCCTGTGTAAAGATAAAGGATAAACCACCTCTAGCATAAAAACAGTATTTCCCTTCTGTAGAGAGGTGTTCTTGATTTTCACAGGGCGTAATAGTTAGAAGGCAGCCCACTTAGCAGATGTTCTAATTACTGATCTGGACTTGTTTTGAATGGTTTAGCTTTGTTAGAGATAAGTTTGTAATTTTAAGGGTTTGCCATTTTTCCAGTATGACAGTCTTAAATTTTCAAAATCATAACTTCTAATCCTTAAGGTTGATTGCTGGTGTAAAAACGATGATTTCTACTGGTTTTATTTTATAATTCACAGTGAAATTATACTACTTTTACTTATACCCTTTTCAAAGTACTTTAAGTTAGTATGAAGACTAACTACACAAATACATGTAGTTGAACCTTAGTGATATACAGTCCTCCCATCAGAAAAAAGACCAAAAATAACACAAAAATTGGCAGGAATGGGGTGAGGTAAGAGTAGAAAGAATAGAATACTCTGGGGAGTGGGTTATTTTAAAAAAGATATGGTAATTTGTTTAAAGAAAGTAAAACTTCTATATTGAAGACATATTTATATCACAGTAGATTCTAGAGGTAGCAAAGAATTAAATATGAAAAACAAATTAATCTTAAAAGTACTCAACGGAAAAAAAAGAGTAGAGATCATCAGGCTATAAAGGCAAGCATAATTTATTTAGTTCCGTTTTAAATAAAGTTTTGAGCTTTTTACTGGCTAGGGCATAAAAGAAAATATTATACTTTATGTGTTTTCAAGATCCTTGAGGAGAAAATTGACCTGTTATATCAAGGAAGCAGAGCTTTATGAACATTCCACATAAGTTAATGTTCTTTTTTTGTTAATCCTCACCTGAGGATATTTTTCCATTGGTGTTTTAAAGAGTAGAACGGGGGTGGGAGAGGGAGAGAGAGATCGATTGGTTGCCTCCCACACATGCCCCCACTGGGCCAGGCATCGAACCTGCAACCCAGGTACCAGGAATTGAACCTGTGACCCTTTGGTGCTCAGGCTGATATTCAAACCATTGAGTAATACTTGCCAGGGCAAGTTAATGTTCTTATTAATATTTCTGTAGTAATTGTGATAACAGATTCATTACATTGTTTCTTAAAGTTGTCTTTAAGAAAATGTGAAGTATAGCTTGAAAATGTAACTTGGTGTTTGTAATGAGTTATGGAGGTAAAAAGCATTCAAAACCCGAGTGTATTTATTGTCTTTTTAATGGTTGATTCCATACGAAGGACAAAACATAAAATCCCCGGACAATTCAGTTCTCCAGAAATAATATTTTTCTCAACTAGGGTGTTGAAAGGAGTTGAACAGCTATTCTTTCCATACAGCTTAGAGCAGAACTTCCCAATCAGAGGGCTGCAGTTTACTGATTTTCCGTGGAATAGGTTACAGGTATACCACAAAATATAATACTATTTATATTTTGTGATATTATTATTAAAAATGTAGGGATTTTGAAAACAATTATTAAGTAATATATAGTCTTTGAAATTGTATTTGAACACTAGTCATATGGTTCCAACTGTCAACTTCCTGAAATAATTATTATTTTGGAATGTAAGATTTTGGTTAGTACTTGTCACCAGAGAATGCTCTGCATGGCTTCATATACCACAGAGCTCCTCTTCCAGGTGTTCTTTGATGAGAAATGTAGTTAGGACAGCCGTGGGCAAACTACGGTGCGCGCCGGATCCGGCCCGTTTGAAATGAATGAAACTATTGGGAAAAAAAGACTGTACCCTTTTATGTAATGATGTTTACTTTGAATTTATATTAGTTCACACAAACACTCCATCCATGCTTTTGTTCTGGCCCTCCGGTCCAGTTTAAGAACCCATTGTGGCCTTCGAGTCAAAAAGTTTACCCACCCCTGGGTTAGGATGTACTTATTTTTTTAAAAAAATCACATTAGTAGACAGTAAGTTTTACTTAAAAAAAGAAAAATGAAAAGAATAGAGAAGTCTAATCACACAGATAGGTATCCAGTATTCTTTGTAAGTAAAGCCCAAGTTGTTCCTTAAAAATTATCCTGGAACTTCTGTGCAGTATAGATGACCCCAAGGTTCTGTACCATAGAGCACAATCTTTATTTTAGTCTAGAAAATTTCAAGGCAACTGATTCTAAAAAGACAATAGAACAAAGTGATTAAGAAAGTTTTTCGTAGACTGCCAGAGTTAGACCTGTGTAGTTAGAGGTAGATACTTCATGTGTCTGTTTCTTCATTTGTGAAATGGGAATAGTAATAGTGCCTACTTCTGTCGGTTGCTGTGAGGATCAAATTAATATTGTTAAGGCATTTAGAATAGAACCTGGCATATTTTAAACACTCAATAATGTTAACTTGTCAGTTCTTAGTAGTATTAGTCCATTTGTTTATTATGTATAAAACCCTCACTATTGCCGCCTTGAATATCTTTCCAATCTTGAGCAGTTTAGCTTTCTAACGAATCTTTTGTGATGAATTGGTTGCTAAATGTAGTACTGAGTAAATAAATAGATTCATTGTGTGATATTATTGAGTGTAAATGAATATTTGTGAAAAATTATTTTTAGTAGTATTGGATGTGACGGCATTTTGAGATGAATAGTTAGATAATCATATCAGTTGTCTATTGAGGTTGCTCCTTATTCAGATTTAAGCATATCGTATTTCCTGTGGTGGAGATAATATTTCATAAAATCCAATTCTATTTATACCATGGCATTTTGTTTTTAAAAATTGAGGTGTAGTAATAGAACAATTTACAAATATAAGTGAGTTTTATATGTTTTGGCAAATGTAAATACTATGTCACCTCCAGCCCATTGAAGATATACAGAGCATGTCCATCACCCTAGAAAGTTCCTTTGTGCCAGTGTCTAGTCAAGTCCCTCAGGTGCAACCACTACACTAATTTTTATACTCTTAGGTTGCTATATATCGGCATTTTTGTCTTTTGGAGTTGGTTTTTATTAACTCTCTTAATTCACATTGTGGGAAGTAAAGATTAAATGTGACTTAGTGCTCCTTATTCCTATATTTTATAAGAATTTCCTTGTCATAAAAAATGCTTGGGCAGTATTTATTTGTAGAAGAGAAATACTTTTACTGCATATAGTTTGTCCCTATGTCTTCCCCTCCCACCACCCCAACATTTCATGAAAATAATGTTTCAAAGATGATACTTAATTTTGGTTAGTTGTTTTCTTTAGATCTTTTATTAATTAATGTAGAAATGTGATTTAATTTCTGAGCTCAGTTGAGCTATTAAATAAAAACGTTATTTTTTGTGCGACTCTGTAAAATGTAACTACTTAAGTTTTGCCTCAAGGTTTTCTATTGGTGTTGTATGTATAACATCTATATATAGATGTTGTTTGTGTGAAAGTAAGTTTTTAGGGCTTGTACCATATCATAGCTGTGTTAGAATTACTGTATGCTTATTTTTAATAAAAAATAAGTTATCTACCAAAACTTACTTTAATTTTTATTAGCATTTAAATGCAGTTTACTCACCTTAAATTTTAATCAAAAATTTTTTTAAATGTGGTTCATGGTCAGATTAAATGTCTTTATTGGATTTATTATTAGGTGCTTCTCATTTTTTGGAAAGGACTGATTTTTTAATACTTTTATAAATACTAGAGCTTTAATTTGTTTTGTACTGGTTCATTAACCCCAAGTCTTTTAATTTTTCCTCATTGTTTAACAACTTGTATTTATTAATTTTCATTGCCTATATTGAGGAGTTAAAATGAAGAGTATTTTTATTATAGAGAAATGTTACTTGTGGTCTCCAGTTTCTTAGCTCATTTTGTGTAGAGTCTCATAAATATTGCTGCCAAATAAAACATCTTGGTGAGACTTTGTTCAGTATTGCAAGTATACTTCATATTAACTTTTGGACCACTTTTAATGGATTGTGTATCTATAAATCTTTTAGTAATCTTCTCTTGCAGCCTCTTTGTTTATTACTTATGAGTGTCA